ATAGGGTAATGACAGAATGACAACAACAACAACAATAACAGCAACTATCAACAACTATCCCTTTTCTAGCTTTCCTATATCGAGTCGCATAAGCGAATGCGAATGCGAATAGGAATGCGAATGCGGGGCTTGCTGTGCCGTTGCCTCTTGCTAACCGCAAGCAAATGCAGCGCAGCGCTGCGCTGGCGTTGGCGCTGGCGCTGCGCTTTCTGCTTTTTCTCACTTTTCTCTCAGCAACGACACATAACTGATAATTTCATTCATGTTCCACACGAAGTCGAAGTTGAAATCGCCAGCGAAGACTCACACGAAGTCACCAAGCGAAGATACACGAAGTCGACGTCGCAGACGCAGTCGCCAGTTGAAGACGAAGTCGTTCTCTGAGTCACAGACGCAGCAGCGCTTCCCCAGTTCGCGGCTCTGGCTCTGGCTCTGGCCATAAACTTGATGGCATCGCAGTAGCTGCGACCAGTCTGCATTTGTCTTTCTGGCAACGACAACGCACGCGGCCCGTTAAGTTGCAAACTTTAGCTCATACTCCGCTCTCTAAGTCTCCAGCAACAACACACACAAGTTGTTAACGGTTTATACGCGACTGTGAGAAAGGCAAACAGCGAACTGCCTGAATTCGTTTTGCACAATCTGTGAGGCCTTTGCCTCCTAATCAACTTTACTTCACTTTTACTTTAGTTTTTCATTTTTTACAAATTTTCCATTGACAACAGATTCCAGACAAAATTTTAAAGTGATCTTAAACCGTAAAAAAATATTTAAAAAAAAAAGTAAATACAAAAAAACTGTGCAAAAAAATTGATGTCCGCGATTTTCAAATATTTTTCACATATGTTTGTCGTGTTGGGGGAAAAGGATTTCACTTTTGAGTGCCAAACGCCGGCAATTGAAAACTAGTTCAAGGCTGCCTACCTGCTGCTCCACACCAATCTATTGCCACAAAAAGTGACAGAGAAAGAAAGAGGGAGAGAGAGAGAGAGGCAGACAGGGAAAGATACTGTCAACATGGAGCTAACGAAAGAAACGGTATTTAAAATTTACAGGCTTTTCATTATGCATGCTTAACGTCCACATCGGGCGTATCTCTTCCATTCGATTACATGCTGGACATATCAACAACTTCAACTTGCTTTGCTTGTTTCTAGCGCTAATCACGAGCTGACATTGACTATTTGTTTTTATCGGTATTATTAATGTTATTGTGCTCAGTTGCTTAGGATGGTCTTACTAATTACTGAATTGCTTAAACCGCATTTAGCATGGGTTCTGCAGAACTTTTTGCGCGTTTAGAACTTTCAAAAAATAAAATAATTAAGAACAGTTTTTTTTTCTGATTTGCTAATAATTTCGCTGAGCAAGAATTTGTTCAGACTTAAGTTATATATGTTGTTCAGTTATGTGTGCTTATAATGTGATAATATTAAGTGTAAATTTATAAGAAAACAGTTGAAAGTTGAGTGTTGAGTAATACAGAAATTTATTTTTATTATTTTGCTAAAAGTGTAATTTATTAAGTTATACAATTAAATTATATAAATATGAATACTTAAAAAAATGCAAATATGCCTTCCGTAAGCTCTACTTCATATGTATGATATGCTAATATATATTACAATATTTTTCTTTGCGAGAAAATTTGTAACTTGTCATAAACATTTTCCTTTCTTTGTTATCTCCTTCTTTATTATCATTTCGCATTAACTCGTGCAATCAGTTTAGTTCTCGTTTGTTTTTAATTTCATAAATGTTTTCATGTTTGTTTTAACTAATTGTATATATATTTATATATATGTATAAATCGCGTGTGTCTCGTGCCACGTGCTCATTAAAAAAGCAGACAAAGTACATTATATCATTTCTATAAAGCTACTCTATCAACTGTGACAGAACTAACCACTCCTAAGCATGTAGAATGACTTCGGGCTAATTGTTTTGGCCATAAAACATATTTTGCTTGACTTAAGTATATGTATATAAATATATATATATAAATATAATAATTTTTTTTAATTAACCAATGCCATAAATCCATTTTTAATTCTTATATAGCTACATTAAATTTTTTACGTTATAATTGTTGATTTTGAAACATTAAAATTTATCAAATTTAATTTTTAAGCTATGAAATATTTCAACTACATGATATATAAATTATATTATATATTTATATTTATTCATTTAATATAATATAAAATATATTTTGTGAAATGCAGCTCAGAGTATAGTATAGTATTATTTGAAATTAATGAACTATTTTTTATTTCTAATTATTATTTATAATTATTATTATTTATACAAAACTATGTTCTATCTTAGATATGTATGTATCTGTATCTGTGTTTGTTCGATTTTTTTTGTTTTTTAAATGAAATTTTTAATATGCAGAACTATTTAAAATGAATTTATAATGATTATTTTTCTATTTTTTAAATTAGAATATATTTTTATTTTCTATTTTGTCTACATATAATTTCTATACATATTTATATACCTTTTAAGTTTCACAATAATTGTTAAATATTTAGAAATTAATTTTTAACAATTTGCGCATCATTTGCTTTTGTTGTTCTTAACAACTTTTAACTGTACAAAAAGTGTTTTTGTTGTTCTCTGTTTGTTTCTGCTAAGAACATTTCTTTTAGGTCAGATAATTTGTCACTAATTGCTGCAAAGCGAAAACAAAAGCTGTGAAAGTTTTCTGCCAGTTGTCAAAGTGTCAAAAAGTAACTCAGATATGTCTAACTTAGATATGTGCGTCTATATATATATTTATATATCTATATATATAAATATGTATTTGTGTTTCTCCGATGTGCCAGTTATTTGAACAGACTCTACAATGTCTGATGATAAATGCAGTTGAAGCTGTCAACAGTTGCGCTTCTTCATCAATCGTTGTCAGCAGCAGCAACATCAGTCACTCTTCTTCTTCATCTTTCTTTTTATCAGAGACCATAGACAAACTCCCAATATAATTAAAATGTTTAACATTTAATTTGACGAATTGCAGTTACTATTTTTGTTGTTGTTATACTGTCTATGGCTAATTAACAATTTCAATTATAATTGCTATTTGTGTGCTGTGATTTCTGTACGGCAAAATGTCATCCGAGGTTTATGGTCGATGGCGTCACTTCACCCAGTCAGCCATGCCACGCCTCCCGCCCGCACGAAGCAGCAGTCAGCCATAGCCTGAACTCGTTTTTGGTCACTGCACACGAAAATCACGAACAAAAAAAAAACAAAAGTTTTTCATTTGGCTAAATATTTAGACATAAATAAAGCTATTATGCAGTCAGAGTCAAAGACACGAACTCAGATAAAGATCATTAAGCTAATGCACTATATATACATATATACAGATAAATTAATTGAGCTGAGGAGCCGCCCAATCGTCGATATAACGGCAACCACTTTCCACACGTTCCATAAATATATAAGAAAATTAATGTTCAATAAAAAAAAATTAAAAAGCTTCACAAAAAAAAAGCAAAAAAGAATGTTGCAGTCGGGCGCTAACGACCGTTTAATACTCGTTCACACTCAATGAAAATAATTTAATCAGTTTTAGTAAATCTTAAGTAACACTTTACCGATTTGCATGACTCCAAGAGCCATATATTTATGTATATAATCTTTAATAAATAAATAGAAACCAACATTAGCTTAGTCCTTAAATTATGGTCTAAACTATATGCCCCTAGTGGCCATAGATATATAAAGACTATTTATTATAAGACCTAGGTTGTCTACATGAATTTATATTGCAAGTTTCAAGTCCTCAATATCTTCAATAATATCGTTCCTGTTATAACAGATATAGTAATTCCCGCTCCTAGTAAATTCTTTCAACTATCAAGTCTCTGTCGAACATTGCACGAAACCAATATGCTCTTCTCACTTTGCGAACGAGTATCAAAACTTGCTGCCCGTCACTCTGGTACAGTTTTCACTATCATTTGACGAGCGCTGGCCGAGGCGCGCGCAATCGGGAAAAGCCAAATGCAGAGCGTGCTCGTTCAGCAGGTTTTTCTTTATTTTTTTTTTTCATTATTTTCAATTTTTCTTTGATTTTTTTTGGTGCATCCTTTTCTATGGCTTTGGCAAAGCCTGCGAGCTATGCGAAAAGTGTCTCATGTTTGGGGAAACAATTGTGAAACATTTGAAAGGTGTTTTTCAGTTAGCTTTTAATAGGCTGACAGGCGTCTTTAATTACTGCATTTATGTGTTGGAAAACACTAACGGAAAATGCGACTTCGAAAGTTGATTAGGCCATTAAACATAAGCGACTTTGGCTTGAACAACAAATCTTGAATAATTAGCTAGAACAGTGCAAAAAAGTTATTAAAGAGCTTGGTAGTTATTAAAGATGTGACTTAAAATAGAGTTTAACTAGGTATTTTCATTTAAATTTGTTAACTAAGCGCAAATTTAGAGTATTTCAAAAGACTTTGAATTATTAAACTGATGAAAATATTAACAAATTGTGTTTATTTCTTTAAAACTTAGAGATAGATGGTCAAAATTGTTAAAAAATCTAGGTTACATTTTAGCAATACCTAAAAATTTAGTTAAAACAGAATAAGAACTTAATGGAAAATATATATATATATGAGATAAAGCTAATTTTGCTAACTTCTAGTTAACTTTAACTTCTTTTGACTTTACTTGAAGGCGTTGTAATATATATTTATATATACCTCTATATATATTTCTATGTATATATATATATATTTATTTATATCTATATATGTCTTTCTATATATCTATATATATATATCTTTATCCTCTCTCTTTTTCTTTACATTTTTTTTAAATTACAATTTTTAACATTTAGTTTTGACATTTGTCAAACTACCCATTTATATATATCGATCAAGTTTCTAGTGTTACTTTAGAAATGTATAAAAAATTATTTGAATAAATAATATTTATTGAATTGTTTTATTTGCGAATATTCTAAAGCCACGTTTTAATCAACTTTTCAGGAGGTACGTCCGGATACAATACCCGACTTAAAAGTGGATGCCACATTTCGCAAGGTGCCAAAGCATGCGATAAGCTTTGCGCTGTGGAAAATTGACGAGGATCGACTGGAGGCGGTAGCCCGGCCACAATATGGCACCTTCTATGACAGTTGCGCCTACATCATATATGCGGCCAATCTAGTGGGCCACTATGCCACTCACGAGACAATCGTAAATATAACCAAAAACTTTATCTAAGCCCATCTGCATCGGTCATCCTTTGCAGACTCGAGAGCAGAAACCGAATGTGCCGCTGGAGCGCTATATACACTATTGGCTGGGCAGCCAGGTCTCCGAACAGAATCGCTCCAATGTGGTGCACAAGATCCAAGAGCTCGACTCCTATCTGGGCAACGTGGCATCGATTTATAGAGAGTCCCAGCATCATGAGAGCGCACGCTTCTTATCCTACTTCAAGAATGGCTACGAGTGAGTTAGTTGTCCGTGGTCCTTGCCAGACTGTTTGCTAATATCCTTTTGCAGCGTGCTCTGCGGCGCTTTGCTGAATGCGCCTCAGCAGACGCGTCTCTTTCAGCTGTACGGCCGCAAATGGCTGCGCGCCATTGAGCTGTCGAGCGTGGATTGGACGCACTTCAATTCGGACTACATTATGGTGCTGCTAATGGAAGCCATGACGTTCGTGTGGATTGGACGTTCCAGTGCGGCCATTGAGCGACGCAGCGCTTTGGCCTGGGTGCAGCGACAGCAGCGCAAGGATGTCCCGCTCTGTGTGGTGGACGATGGCTATGAGCAGTCGATGAGTGCCGAGCAGAAGGAGCTGTGGAACAAGGTGTTGCCGCTGCAACAGCGCAGGGTCTATCAGGCGCATCATACAGGCAGCGACTATGACTCCAGCAATAGCAGCAGCAGCAGCAGCAGCAACATCAGCAACGGCAGCAGCAAGAACGATGCCAACAAGTTTCGCATCTACAAATGCAATCAACGCGGACGACTGCATCTGGATCAGCTAGACGTGGGCATGCCCAGCAAGGACGATCTAAGCGATGCGAATGGCGTCTATTTGCTGGACAATTTCGGGCAGAGCGTTTGGCTGTGGGTGGGCGCCCAGGCCACCCAAGCGGATGCGCTCACTGCCATGGGCAATGGTCGCGCCTTTGTCAAGAAGAAGAAGTATGCGAATAGCACGCTGGTGGTGCGCGTACTAGAGGGTCGTGAGCCGGTCGAGTTTAAGCGGCTCTTCGGCAACTGGCTGACCGTTTGGCAGGACAACACGCGCGGCCACAAGCCCGTCTCCACCAAGTTTGGCAAACTGGATGCCGTTCTGCTTGGCGAACGTCCCAAAATGGCAGCCGACACGCAGCTGGTCGACGACGGACGCGGCGAACGCATCGTCTATCGCATCTGCGGCGACGAGCTCGAGGAGCTGCCGGCCGCCAAAGCCATGGTGTTCACCACCAACGCCTCCTATGTGGTCAACTATACGGTGCAGGTGAGTGCGCAGACAGTGTTGGCGGTCGAATTAGTGCTGATGACTGAACTTTAGCTTCGTGTTCAGTGGGTGTGCCGCGAGGTGCGAAACAGCTTGGTGGTTTATTGTTTTAGATTTTAATTGTGTGGACTGGCTTGGACTGTGGGTGATCTCACTCTTTAGTTTGTCAACAATTTTATGACTCCATAAAGTGAACTCTCTTTCTCGCTATTTTCTATGTATTTCCACTTTTCTTTCACTCATTCTAACTCTTTTGTTTGCTTCTTATATTCATTTTCTTACTTTTACTATCTCACAGCTAAAAACGGCCTTTCTCTGCGATTTTCATCATGTCTTCTTCTTTATTCATTTTACTCTCATTTTTCAGTCTGTTGAAATTTCCTCTCTTATTCCGCTCCTGCTTTCTGCGCTTCATGTTAAATAACACCCTTCTCTGAGATTCTCATTACCTATAAACTGTGTTTATAAGGAATATTAAAGTATAATTTTAACATTTATTTCTTAATATTTTATTATTTTAAACTCATTATGTCCGTCTGTTCTCCGTTCCTTTTCTCACTATCTCTTGATATCTTTGACTCATACTCTCAACATAAACGCCCCTATTCCCACGTCTCTGCCGCTAACTGTTAAATGCCGCCTTTCTCTGTGATTTTCATTAATCTTAGCTGGGGTCAACAGCTTTGTAGCTATGTTTAGTGATATTTTTATAGTTTATGTGGGTGAGCAGTGTTGTCTCGACTTGTTTTCATATTGCAATATGCAAATGCCGGCTTGGACAATTCAAGAGCTGAATGTAGGGAATCTCCCCAGTCGAGTTCACTTCGGTTCGCCATTGTACTTAAATGGATTGTGCTGCAAGCGCACAATAGTGAGAAATTATTGCTGCATATTATTAACCGAAATATGACACAAAAAATATTTCAGTGCGCGACTGTTGTGCCCGCTGATCTGGCCTCTGTGGGCATTAAGTGCATCATCTATCAGTGGAATGGCTCCGAGGCGTCAGCCGAGACAATAGCGAAGGCCGACAGCTATGCCATGGCCAGCTTCGAGTCGCTTAAAGAGCCCGGCATGTTCGTGCAGCTGTACGAGTTCGACGAGACGCCACACTTTTTGCAACTGTTCGGGGGCAAACTGATTATCATGCGTGGTCAGCGCAGTGAGCTGTTGCACTCGAATAACAATCTGAACTGGGACTTCAAGACGAACATCATGCTGGAGACGTTTCTGCTGAAGATCTACGGGGATGCCAGCTACAATGGCAAGGCCGTCGAGGAGCATCCGTTGTCATCGATTAGCTCGAAGGACTGCTATGCCATCAAGACGAATCACGTGTGGGTCTGGTGTGGTCAGAGCAGCACGGGCGATGCTCGTGAAATGGCCAAGTCTGTGGGCGCACTGCTCGGCGAGAGCTCGCTGGTGCTGGAGGGCAAGGAGAGCAAGGAGTTCTGGCAATCGGTGTCGATGTATTTCAATCAGACGCTGGTCATCAATGGCCAGTCGTGCTCCAGCAGCACCACCAGCAGCAGCAGCAGCGGCGCCGGCAGCATGTGCAACGGCAGCAATGGCAATGGCAATGGCAACGGCAATGGCACTGGCAACATCTCCCCGACACTGAGCAACAATTGCTATTTGAATACCACGGTGCCCATCAAGCCACGACCGCCGGTGCAGCTCTTCCTGGTGTGGTGGGAACAAAGGCATTTGCGCTGCGAGGAAATACTGGGCTTTGAGCAGCAGGATCTCAGCGCCGACTGCACATACATACTGGACACGGGCACCCTGGCCTATGTGTGGCTGGGCGAGCATGCGGTCCGCCAGGAGCGTGAGCGTTACACAACCGTTGCCACGAGCTATGTGCAGAATGCGCCATTCGGAAGACGCGCAGCCACAGCGCTGGCTGTGGTGCGACAGCACGCGGAGCCGAATGTGTTCAAGGGTTTCTTTGAGACCTGGGACAATAAGCTGGGCAAGGTAACACTTGTTTCTCAATTGCTATAGATTTCATGCTAATTTCATGCCAACCTCTGCAGGGCTTTGTCAGCTACGAGCAAATACGCCAGCAACTGGGCACCATAGCGCCCAGTAATGGGCTAAAGGAAGGCTCCGCCCTATTGCTAAACAACAACCAAAAGGATTTCGATGGGCACAAGAAATATCCATTGCCCGTGCTGGTGCAGGAAATGGACATGTTGCCACCCGAAATCAATCCGCTCAGGCGCGAAGTTAGTTAAACGAAATGACCTCAGTTTAAGCAATTAAGAAGTAAATCTCATTTATTTTAGGTACACCTCACGCATGACGATTTCGTGTCCGTCTTCAAAATGTCCTTCTATGAATTCGATGAGCTGCCCAAATGGAAAAAGCAGGAACTAAAAAAACTTTATAAATTATTTTAAGCAAACAACTTTATATTGTTTTAGAATACACCAACACTAACACGTTTACACATACCCTGTAAATAGTACATTTTAATTGGCTTTGTTACATATCTGGAATAGCAATAAAGCAATTTTAGATATATATTTCCCATGGTAGATAATATATTTAAGCACCGTATTTTATGAATTATATAAAATTATATTATGCGAAATATAAAGCAACGAGTTTTGTATATATATATATATGGATATATAGATTAAGTTGTAGTTTCCACCTCCGAGGAATCTGGCGCGTCATCACCGTCATCAGAACCTATTGAAAGTATACTTGTATTACTGGACATTGAGAGGCGCCTTTACTTACTGGGAAATATTAAACCCATTATGAAATCGAATATGCCTCCCAACAGATCCCAAAACATATTCAGCTCGTCAAGCCCAACGTACTGTAACTAAATCTCAGCGATTGCCCATTTGAAGCATTTTGTGTGCGACAGAGCTCGGATTAATGAGCCGTAAAATTCAGCTTAAATCAATCTCAATATATCACAATTATATCCATCGATGGGCACAAACATGCAACTTGAATTACATCAAAAAATACACAACATAAATGGATGTTCAAAACAAATTTATTGATAAATTGCATGGATCTTGGACATTTTTAATAGTAATAATCATCATCATAGTCGCCAAAGTAATCCTCATCAGCTTTGGCATAGAGAGGGAGAGAGAGAGAGAGGGAGTTATACATAGCTTAGATTGACTATATTCTATAGATAGATATAGACTTAAGGATCAATATAGATCCCTTTAACTTACTAATATCCGAGAAGAACAAATCGTTTAGAAAGCCCAAAAATATCTCCACGATGGCGCAGCAATCCATTTTTGTATAATTTTATAAGCCTTTCTATGATTTTTACCCGGCTTTTTATAGCTTGATTTTTTTAAATTGTATTTTTTATTTTTATATTTTTTGTTTTGCACAATTTAATTAATGTTTATTTTTATTGCTTGATCATAGTTGGGCTACTTTAAAACATTTTCTTTAAGCGTCATCGTCGTCCTCGTCAGCTAGCAAAAGGCAAAGTTATATTATGATTGTGAAATATTTATATTTTTCAATCATTTTTCTTACACCCAAACAGAATTTCGCCTATGAATTCGAATAGAATCCCTATGATTTCACAATCCTCCATGGTTTGCTCTCGAAAAGAAACTTGACCAAATTATAAAACCAAAGCCATTTGGCTACATATAAATCTAAAAAAATTTGTTTATTTTTTACTTCAACCTTGAAAAATACCTATAAAATTTTATGTGCAGCATTAATTTAATGTATAACAATTATAGAAACAAATCGGTTGTTTAATAAACCATTGCAATAATTGCACTTCGCGTAGTCTTAAAATTTAATTTTATTAAACGTTTTTTTTTGCCGGCTTTTAAAAAATAAACAAACTAAATCAAACTAATATACATCGTAGCCATACATGGGCGCCTCCATGAACGCCTTCTGCTGATCCGTTGAATTACGCCGTATCCTACGTCCAATGGGCTCCAGATCCGCATAGCATTTGGGAAAGACGCGCTCGACCGCTGCCACAGCCTCTTCATGGGTTATATTCCTCACAGCTAGCACCGAGGCCAAGGCTTTGCTTTTGACACAATTCTGCAAGATTCGATTTTATTAAGTTTAGCAAATATAATATAAAAGTATAAAACATGTAAAATAACAGAGCTGTTTAGATAAGTCTACTTTGAACTGTTCGAGGGCATCCTCTTCGGCTCTTCATTGGAAACTTTATGAACTCATTGCATAGCAATGACTCTAGATATCTGATTTAGATGATATTAACAGGGTAAAAAGGGCGACGTGTTAACACATATGGAGAACAAAAATGGTGATATCGACTCAGCTCAGTTATGTATACATTTATATATACTCTACGGGATTCACAATCCTCCATTCTGAACTCGTCTTTCATATACCTGATGTGCTTCCTTGATATTAAAGGGCGACGCATCACCTTGCGTCATGGCACTGAGGAAGGAGCAGTGAGCTAGGTTAGCGGCACGGATTTCCGTACATGCCAGATGATCCACATTGCGGAAATCCAAGTCATTATTGCAGTAGTCGAACATGTGAATCATTTCGTGGGTGAGCACACCATGCACCATGCTCTTGTTTTTAGCCATATTTTGGCAGACGACGATCTGATTAAGCACTGGATCATAGCCGCCGGTTACGCTCGGATCGCACACCTCGCAGGAGATGTGACGACGCAGATCTATGGGACAGCCAGAGCTGCGCAGTGCACCCATCATCAGCTTGACCAGTGGGCCGTTCTTCACACACCAATAGACATTCTGTTCGCATTTGTAGCGATCGATGTTCTCCTGACCCTCCATACCGAACAGTATGCGTGACCATTTTGGCTTGAAGGTTTCGCCTCGACGTTCCGGATAGAGATCATAACCCCATTCCTGACGTTCACTTTTAGGTTGCCCAGCATCTGGCTTTGTATCCTGTACAGGCTTTTCATCTGGTACCACGACAGCTGTGGGCACTGGGTCCGTTGCCGCTGCCGCTTTGGCCCAAACTTGTGTCAGGAAACCCATATTTACACTTATTCAAAAAAAACTTTATGGCTAAACTAAGACTGGTAGGTTAAATAACAAACCGGCAGCTGATTAACAGAGTTGCCAGTGCGCGCAAAGTAACGTGTCCACATACACGTTACAACATGGGCATCATCATAAGTTGCCATCTATCTACTGATCCTTACCAAATGACTGCAGTAATTTGTTGTATATTCTTATATACAAACACGATTCTTGCATACAAGCTGCAGAAATTTTTGCATTGTAGCTCCGTTAACTATTATACACAAGAATGTTATATTTGGCACGACTCAAGTGACTGCAGTATTTATATTTTAAAAAAAGTTGGTATTTTTGTGACAACCAAACCTGTCAAACAAGTGTCAAAACTCAAATTCTTACGTGTATGAGCCACTTTGAAGAACTGCTGTGTTTGCATTGTAATACAAATTTGGTATTTTTGCAGCAACAGCGTGCGACACACTTAATCGCAGACCGGCATTTACGAGTGTAAAATTTCCACGTAATTCGTTAGCAAGTGCGCGGACTCTGTTTTTAATATGCAGCAAAAAAATTTACAATTAATGCTATTTGCCTTATTAATATATGCACTAATCAGTGTTCAAAGCGTTGATGTACCTCGGCCTCGCGGCGTTTCTTTAGTAAAGGCTGCCCTCTATCAACCGCAACCGGATGGAAAATGGAACTGCATCGATGGAAGCAAAACAATACCATTTACGCAGATAAATGATGATTACTGTGATTGCGCCGATGGCAGCGATGAGCCCGGCACCGCGGCCTGTCCCAATGCGCAGTTCCATTGCCTTAACAAGGGTCACCAGCCCGTGGACATTCCCAGCTCTCAGGTGCAGGACGGGATCTGCGACTGTTGCGATGGCAGTGACGAATTGGAGCAGTCGCGATGTGAAAACACGTGCATTGCTTTAGGTGCCGCCGCCGCCATTCAACGTCGTAACGAAGCGGAACTGCATATGAAAGGCGCTGAGAAACGGCAGGAGATGATTAACCGTGGCAAACAAATGAAAGCGGATCGGTCCGCACGTCGTTCCGAGCTGAATGCGCGCATCAAGGAGCAAGAGTCACTCAAAGCTGAAAAGGAGCAGCTCAAGCAGAATGCCGAAGCGCTAGAAACGGAGGCAGTTGAAGCCTTCAAGGAGCAACAGCGTGAATTGGATGCGAACACGGCGCAGGCGGAACAAGAGCCCCAACAAATGCGGCAGGAGGCATCGCTCACCTTTGTGCGCTACGATACCAACAAAGATGGCTTTGTGGAGGTCACCGAACTTATGGTGGACATGAATCTCGACCGCGATCGTAACGGCGTTGTCACTGTTGAAGAAGCCAAATATTTCCTGGATGAACGCGATCGCATGGATTTGGATGCCTTTATCACTTTGGCCTGGCCACGTATTAAGCCGCTGAAAATGTTAGCTGATGGACTCTTCCAGCCACCAGTTGAGGAGCAAGCGCCGCAGCAAGAGACAGCAAAGGATGCAGAGCAGCAGGATCCTGAGCCATCTGAAGGTAAGCAAAAGTTGCGATTTATGCAAATTACTTTGATTTATTTAAGCTTTTGTTTTGCAGAACAAGCGGACATGGACGTGCCCGATGATGAGGATGGTGAAGATGAGTACGAGGATGAAGAGCCCGATGTGGGCGTTGGCGAGGCTACGCCTGATATAGAAACAACGACAGCTGCACCTATTTACGATCCGGAAACTCAGCGTCTGATTGAGCAGGCGAACGAGGCGCGCAATGCTTATGAAGAAGTAGCTCGACAAATACGTGAAATCGAGCACGAAATCAAGGAGATTGACGATCAGGAGAGCAAAGACTACGGACCCAATGAGGAGTGGTCAGTGCTGGATGGCGAGTGCTATAGTTTTGAGGATCGTGAATATGTCTACACGCTTTGCCCCTTCGATCGGGTGTCGCAGAAGCCGCGCAACGGCGGCGTCGAAACCACTTTGGGGCGCTGGGATCAATGGGCGGGCGAGGGCTCCAATAAATATAGCAGACAAAAGTATGCACAAGGCGCTGCCTGCTGGAATGGACCTCAGCGCTCGGCCATTATCAATATCAAGTGTGCGTTGGAGCCGCGTATCACAGCGGTGAGCGAACCAAATCGTTGCGAATACTATTATGAATTTGAGACGCCTGCCGCTTGCGATAGCGATGCTTACACAGCCTCTGCACAGAGCCAACACGATGAGCTTTAAGAGAAACAATCTAGCTAAAAAGTTGATTTGGAGAAAACAATCTTTGGAATGTATTCTAGTTTAAAAAAAGGAAAAGAAAGTGAAGAGTTTGAGGAGGAAAGTTAATTGAAATGTAAAGTGATTTGCTGATCATTCCCCATAGGTGGCGCTCATCATTGCGAGAATCAGTCGTAGACAAATATTATTCAGCGTATGCATTTAAGCCAAGTAAAAAGTTTCATTTTTTTAAATATACACATACTACTACATTCGTATTCGTACAAAAGCGTTTTCATGGCTCTGTTACGGCCAGTTTTATATCCTCCAGGTAGCCATCTACTTGGTGCTCCAGCGCCAAAATGTGACCCGTATTGCAATCCTCGGCGCCAACAAATGTCAAAATCAATGGCAATTTGTTCATTTGTACCACCTGTCGGAGAGTGGAAAGCTAATACGTTAATTACTGCTTGAATTCATGGGTATGCGTTGGGTCGTAAGTATTTCCTGTTCATGACATACTCGCAACTCCAAAGGTCTTTCACGCCCCACCCACCTGGTAGTTGGAGTACATCGAAATAATTGTTTTGTTGCGTCCCAGGCCCAGTTTACTGGCCTGATCACAGGCTGTGGTAAATGTGGGTATAAAAGAAGGCATCAATGCGAAGTCCACGTTCTTCTCCTGGCTGTTGCTGACCCGTAGGAGTGGCACACCATCTCGGTCCGTTATCTGTATGACGTAGAGGCCGCTGACCCTGCAACCAAGTGCAATATTACTTAGCAAAGCAAGAATTGCTGCTAGAAAACACAACCTACTTCTGCAACAGACCGTTGAAATACTTTTTAATGTCATCTGACATTGCACAGCTAACAATAAAAAAAATATATATTATAAATTGTGTCTTCTGCGCTAAACAAAACAAACATGAGAAAAATGCCTAAATTTTGCCTTTAAAACATACCGAATTAAATTCTTGTCAAAAAATACAAACAACCGTTATTCAAATGTCGTTTATGTAGTTCAACTTCAGAGAGAAAACATCAGGTATTTATAAACCAAAATCAACATACAATTATGCAATTAAATACCATTTTTAACTACCTTGTAAGCCTGGCAATGTTTCATCAAAATCAAAACAAACTTAAATTACCTAAATTTGCCCAACATAATTTAGATACCAACTTAATTATTTTCCTTACAGAACCATAACAAACATAAATAACCTAAATTAGGCTTAACGGCTATTAAAATACTAAAGTGAAGGCAAGGCAAACGGCAATGTACGTGTATTGTTTTAATTGTTAAATGTTTCACCAAAGAACTGATTAAATAATATAGTGTTAATTTAAATACTTGTAGGGTATCCAATACGATGGCTGCCAGTACAACTATTGCCAGAAACGAAAAATCAAGCTTGGATAGTGATGACGACTACACCTCGGCCATGTCACATCTCACTATTGGCGTCCAGATACAGGAGCTTTCGAAGCGGCTGCAGAACACCACAGAGGAACTGCATCAACAGGTGCGCGACAAGCATGGCGCTCTGCTACAACAGGCGACACATGCCGGCCGCTTCGATGCGGCACTCAACTCGCTGGCCGAGGATGTGCAACGCGTACGAGCCACAGGCCATCGACTAAAGAGCCAAGTTGATAACCAATATCAATTGGTGGAGAATCAGACACAAGTGCTGGGTCGATTGCATGACGTGTCACACTTGCTGCGCTCTGCTGGTACCTTGCTTACGTTGACGGCCAAGTTAAAGAACACGAAAGATGTTCTAAGGCAGGCCGAGCTTCATTTCGAGCTGGGACAATTGATAGAAGATAAGGATCTTAAGGACATTGAGTTTATACAAGAGGAACGTGCCTATGTGCTAAGTTCAAGACAAAAGATACGCAACCTAACACAGATGCAGCTGGTCACAGGACTGCAGGAGCGCAATCAGACGCAGGTGGTGAATGCTCTAAAGGTAATTAAGCAGCAAAAATCTTTTGCAGTTTCTCAATTTCTTTATAAATCTTTTCTAGATCTTTATGAATTTTAACACGCTGGAAAAATCACTTGAAAATTTACTTGCCACATTCATCGCCGACATGGAGCAATCGCTAAAGGAGTGCTTTGCTGGCACTGATATATCCGTACTCAATAAAGCGGATGCTGTGCGGTCGCCCACTCATGGCGGCAATAGTTCGACCAAGGCTCAGGCAAGTCGAGGGCCCGGCAAGGCGCCACAGTTAACTACAACACAAAATTTTCGGGCCAAGTTTTGGAAATCGCTGCACTGGCTGCTCTATGATGAGCTCTACGAGAGCTGCACTCAGATCAAGCTGCTGAAATTGTCGCTGGAGCAAATCAATCAATTTGGTTACACCAGCGAATCATCGGACCAATGCATTCCACAGCGCTTCTGGCAGCGTGTACAGCAGCTATTGCGCAAATCCTTTGACGAGTGCACGCAACATGTCAACCAGACACTGCAGGAGGGTCTGTCCAAGCTACTAACATCGGCCCGTGGACTCGAACAGCGGCTGAATAATGAATTCCAATTTGACAACGAGCTCTTCGCCCCACTTGAGGTGGGCTATGTGAGCAAGTGTGCTGCTAACCTTAAAGCCTGCTTGGCTGGAGTTGATTTGCCCGGCAATGAAACAGTGGATAACTTCATCAGGGTCGCCTCGACGGAGTTGAGCGCAGCATTGATTGATAGCCAACTCAGCAATGCGATTGCAAATGTTTTCATTGCCTGTGGCAAGGAGCTGTGCACCAAACTGGAAGCACAAATCAAACTGAGCGCTGATTCCAAGCAAGTTGTGGACTTGCCCAACTTACAGCAACAGCAGAATACGCAGCTGGCTAATGTGCTTTACTACTACAAGGATTCAGTGCGTCGCATGTTGAGCGATCTGCAAATGCAATTCGAGCGAACGCCTAGTGCAGCACGCTCGAACATAGCCCGCTCGTTGGATCAGGCAGATTTGTTAATTGGCACCATATTGCAACAGATTATGGAGTCGATTATCACAGCCATTAGCATTATTATCCTAAGCATGCATCGGGAGCCGGGTCTTAACACAGATCGACTGCCTACAACGGGGCCATCTATGTACATGAAGGAACTGCAGGTAAGCACAATGTGTCCAAAACTGACTAACACTTAAATGTGTGTTTTCATTGTGCAGGAGTTTGTCACTCGCTCTTGGTCGCACCACATTGAACTCTTTGATGATAAGGAGATGACTGGCAAATGTGGACAGGAGTTGGCGAAGCGCTGCATTGAGCTCTTCATACACAACCTGTGCATATTACGACCGTTGAGCATGGCTGGCAGGCAGCGTCTGAAACACGATTGCCAACACATGGAGCAGGCACTGAAACCACTTTGTCCCAATTTCGCGGAGCTGGGCAAACCCTCGCGTTTGCTCCGGGCAATGTCGCTGCTGATTGTACAGAGCGCTCAAGAGTTGGTCAAGCAGTCAGTGGGCGCGGATTCACTGGTGCCAAGCTATGTTGTGCTTCTGCTCATGTTTGGCCATGCTGGAGCAGAGCTTCAGTCACCGCACACGACTGCAAATTGGTCAAATGAACGCCTGATTGAATGGCTGGATGGACATACGGCAGAGCGCGAGAAATTGGAGTTGATATCGGGTGCACTGCAAAGATATCGAGACAATGCCAGGCGCAAGAATATTCAGCAATATGATGAGATATATCCTATGATGGTGGATTACTTTGAAAAGGCTTTAAAGGCCATCAGTGTTTAATCTATTAATTGAAGTTTTTAAATATTTATCAAATAAAGTATTTTACGTGACTACCTAACTATATAGCTATACGCAGGAGTAACATACTTATGAGCTAGAATTACGATATGGTATACACAATAGAGCGAAAATTTTTTAAATTGATATTTGGTGCTCTATTAAGATATTGCAAGGCGGCAAAAAATTTCAAAAAAGCATTTCATTCAAGCAGTGCGTAATATTTGAATTGCAATTCAAATACGTATCGAAGCAGTTTACTTAGCTGACTATTCGTTACTCGATATTTTTGCCGATAATTTGATGGACCTATCGACATCGCACAGCTATCAAGTGACATCACTGGCTAGACACACCATTTTGTTTGAGAGGAAAAAAATCGTGGAAAACGTTTTACTGTGTTAAACCGGACTGTAAAAGTAATTATTAGTAATAATATAATTGTTAGGAAATAACAATGGACAACATTGAGCGACTTTATAAATGTTACGAAATATTATCCGAAGCGGGTGATAAAATAACTGAGGTAAGCGCCATTAAAAAACGCGTCAAAATGAACGGTAGTTGCCAATGCACGCGTATCTGTGTGTGTGTGTACACATTTGCCATCCGCGCCGGCGCTAGTTAAGTGCAATACAAACTATAAAATATTGAAATTTTAATGTTTTCAGCATGTTGCGGAATACAAAGAGATATTACAGGCCGTAAAAGGCACATCGAAGGAGAAGCGTTTGGCATCCCAATTCATTGGCAACTTTTTCAAACATTTTCCTGAACTATCGGACACCGCAATTGATGCACAATTCGATCTATGTGAAGATGATGATACACAGGTGTGTTTAGCTGCTATAAACATATGAGTACTATACTCAATCAAATGAAGATTGTTGCTATGGTAGCTTTGTATATTATATATATAACTAATATTACTGTTATATCATTCAGATACGGCGGCAAGCTATCAAAGATTTGCCCAAGCTCTGCCAGGGTAACTCAGAGGCCACCGTACGCGTGGGCGACACACTAGCCCAGCTGCTTATCTTAGACGACGCAACTGAACTGCAGCAAGTGAACAATTCGCTGCTCAGCATCATTAAATTGGATACGAAGAACGCGATAACTGGTTTATTTCAACAAATCACAACGGGCGATGAGACAACGCGTGAGCGTTGCTTTAAATTTATTGCTACCAAGCTGTTAACAATGGGCCCGAATGTCATCACTAAAGAAATTGAAGATTATATTGTGGAGGAAGTAAAGAAGGCATTGCAGGATGTGACAGCCGATGAATTTCATCTATGCATGACCATTTTGGGCGCCACCAAGCTGGGCAGCACAATAACCGGCCATGCCGAGTTGGTCAAGCTGGCAACCGAACAGGCCGAGCTAAACACCGTCGATGCAGATACCCTAGCGGTAGATGATGAGGTTGTAGAGCGTTTTATACAATGTGCCACAGCAGCTGCTCCCTACTTTTCGGTAAGTTAATTGAAATTTGTTGCAATTGACACAGTGAAATCTAATCTCTGGCTTATAGAAAACCATCAAATCAACGCAATTTGTGAGCTATGTTTGTGACAAACTGTTACCAATTAATACATGGAATTTGATAGCCACTGCAGTGGCACAGGATCAAATACAGTTGCGTTTGTTAAAAGTATTCGCCGAGATGATAACCAATACGGACAAGCTAGATAATGCCAATGAGCGTATTAATGCCGTATACAATGTATTATTGGTAAATATTTTATTTGACAGATTAACGAAAGACTTGCTAACTTGGTTTTTCTATTGTGTACAGGAGTATATGCCCTTGCCAAAACTAAGCGATGAGGATACGGCAGATGTGCCGCCCTCTTTTCAATTCTCGCATGCTGAGTGTTTACTATATGCATTACACACGTTGGGCAAGAAGCATCCAAGCAATTTAACATTTGTCGAGGATGCTGAAAAGCTAAAAGACTTTCGAGCTAGATTACAATATCTAGCGCGCGGTACACAGGGGTAACTATCATATATAGAAAACCTACAAAAATGGCGTGTTAACGTGTTTCAATTTTAGTTACATTAAAAAATTGGAGGAGGCTTTAAAAGGCAAATCAGCGGAGGAACTAAAAACTGAGGAGAATCAATTAAAACAAACGGCTTTGAAGACAACATCAAATATAAACGTTTTAATACGCGATCTATTTCATTCGCCGCCCATATTTAAACATGATATTGTGCTCTCCTGGGTTGTACCCAAAAATGTATGAACTTCATATAAAATTTCTTGAATATTAGATTTCAATGTAAGTTTACTTACAGGGCAAGCTTGGCAAACGACATGTGCCCATCACATTTGGCGACAAGGGCTCTGCCAATGGAAATCAGGAGCAGGAGCAACAGCAGGACAAGAAATCACGGCCATCCAATGAACAGAAGTTCTATTCCCCACCTTCGGGCAAATACTCTGGCAAAGTGAATTCCAACTATGGCAACAATAATCGCGCGCGGCAACGTGGAGGAGGCGGTGGAGGTGGAGGAGGCAACTTTAGGAATCGACGATACAATAGATATTAGGTGCACCAGATATAGCCAACAAACAACTTTTACATCCTAGTCGTTAAACAACAACAAACTGAAGAAACTACATAAGACAAAAAAACTTAAGGAGATATTATGATTAGAGAATTTCTCTAACAACGATCCGCGTTTAATAAACAACTGTCAAAAATTACAATACAACAAGGCTATAGATGAAACTTCCTCCAGCTGGTGACAGCTGCTCCAACAATCCTGGTTTTGGATTTCGGGTGAGTATCTACTAAACTTTCCATGTAACTGTCTACCTTTGATATTTTTCAGAGCCTGCAACAGATCAACAAATAAAAATGCAGTACGGTTAATAATTCTCCTATTTTGCATTATTTCCAAACAAAAACGCAATCACTCACACACCAAAAAAAAAAAAAAAAAACAAAGATGTTTGCAAATTTTTGGCCTGATATTTTAAAACAATGAATCACATAATTTTGTTTCAATCAATGGGAATGTCTGTGGGCACATTGTTTTAACATATCAGGCTATTTTCCTTTTCTCTGATCTGTCCAAAATGCTAGATGTAATAATATATAAAAATAGTTTGTAAACAACTTGCAATATCTGCTCTTAACCATATAAATAATCAATTCAAGTTAATGAAAAATAAGAATTCCCCCTCCCCATAAGTATATGAAAGATATATGCAAACACTCGTAATAACATTTTTGAAGCACAAGATTTACAAACATAAACGAAAGAGTTTGTGAAATCAAATCAATCAAAATCAAAATCACAAGCATATTTAGCATTTTTATTTTTTTTTATTTGTTCACACATATTATGCTCCACTATTGTACAACGTAGCAACAGCAAAAAAACAAAACAAAAATTACAGATCTTAAATTTCAATAAATCGGAAAAATAAAGTTTCTAAAGAAACAAAATATTTTAAGTTTTATTTCCTAGTTGGGCTGTAAATTAAACTAAAAATAGAATAAAGTAAGAGGCATTTATACAGGCATAGTCATATGATTTTTAAGAAACTTGGCACTTGGAGCATTAGCTTAGCTGACAGAGATGCCTATATTGACTCAGCTCATCGTCCCGAGCCACATACATACACACACATATATCTTATGGTGTCTGCCACGCCTTCTTCTGGGTTTAGTGTATAATCAGCACAAACTCTGGGGAATCCCAGTTATGTTTTTGCGCAAGTTGTTTATCTATCGAATCTATTTTTGAGAGTTATGCAATCTAATCTTATTATTTCGGTGCCCATGTGTAAGGATTTTCATTGTATGCAGATACATATATATTTGGCCTGAGAAGATACAATTGGTGACTATATCTCACCTTTTGTAATAGTACTCCCGCCATGTTTGTCTTATATTTCAAAGCCATAAAAGAGACTTCTGTACGTGTTTTATTTTTATTTGTTATTAATTATAAATATAAATATATCTGTCTGTGTGTTTGTATTTCTTTTTTAAACTTTTAACACAATTGATTTCAGCTTAAACCATAATAAATGTATGATGCGCTCTTTAATTTAACACTTAATGGATGCACACATCTAGATGCTGGGAGGAGGCTGATTGCCTGGCTGCTGGCCACCAGGTTGACCGCCCGGATTAGCGCCTGTTTGATCTGACCGTTGTTGTTGGGCTTCAGCCACCTGGGTGGCCAGGCTCTGGAACAACTGTAACATGTCGTTAGGCATTGCCGGCACTGAGCCAGGTGCACCACCAGCCGAGCCGGGTGGACCAGCACCGCCAAGTCCACCCAAGTTGAAAAGCTGACCGATTGTATTCATTATCATCGGATTCTGCGTCATCGATTGCAATTGCTCCAAATCAATTTCAGCGCTGCCGAACAGGTTGCGCAAAGTAGGATTCGAAAGCATGGCATTGAGCCCGTCACTCAACTGCGACAACTGTGGTGGCTGATTGCGTGCATTGCGAACCACTTCTAGATTGTTCCGATAGTCCGCATTATCCGGTTCCAGTTCAATGGCCTTGGCATAGGCATGTTCAGCTTCATTAAATTTTCCCAGATTAGAATAGGCTACACCCAGGCGGCAGTACGCCTTGCTATAGTTGACATTATAGAGCAGTGCCGACTTGCAATCAGTCACAGCGCGTTCATTGTCCCCAAGGCGAATGTGTGCCGCGGCCCGGTTGCAATAAAAGATAGGATTCTTGGGGTCAAAGGTGATGGCGCGATTGTATTGCAAGAGCGCCTCATTGTATTTGCCATCCTTCATCAAGCGATTGCCTTCGTTTTTAATGGACTCAGCCAAAGCCAACGATTCGGGGTTACGTTCTATGTATAACGATTGGAAGAGCTCAAACATATCAATGTTCTTTGTATTGACAGCGATCTGGTTGGCGCTGCCTGATGCACTTGAATCACCACCAGGAGTGGGAGTACCATCTGCGGCAGCTGCTGTAGTGCTCTGAGACACCTGCTCTACTTCCTCCTCCCCAACATCGAAAGCGGCTTGCAGGCACTGGATGGCCACTTCAATGCTTTCACTTTGATCCGGCGACATGACATCCACTTGCTTCTTCAGATAGTCAATAAAAGAGCGTACAAAGCTCTGCTGCACTGCGTCCGGCATTTTTTCTTTTACTTTGTATTATTTATATTATATATTAAATTCACTTATGTGGCTGTCCGAACATGCGACTGGATTTTTAGAGGCGAGCCAAATTTCTAGGGTTGCTGTATTCTTACACATTTGGTGTTGGCGTTGCCAGAATGTCAAGGCGAGCAAATGACAAGCAGATTTCGGCTTATCGTTATCGAGCGCCAGAAAAACTCGTTTTTATTGTTGGTGTTGTTGTTGCTTGTAAAAGCTTACAGAACAGCAAGCTTCAAAGCTTTTTAGGTAGCATGCAACAAAAGACTTTTCAGTTAAACGCTCTCTGGCCCTGCTGGCGTTGGCGTGTTTTGACTTTGTGCGCGTCTTACCAACTTGTTGTTATTGTTATTGTTGTTGTCGTGGCGGAATTATTATTGTTGTGCGCTTATGGAATAGCAAAACGCAGCGATTATTCAAAATTACTTTTGAACATATGTTGAAGCATTGCCAAAATTAGCAGTTTGCTGCCTGTGAGTGTTAGTTAGTTCGTCTTTGTGTGTGTGTGTGTGTAAACTTTAGTGACGTCAGTCTTCCTGTGAGCACAATCCTTTGGTTTTGGCTTAGCTTGACTCATTCTGTGGCGCCACCATGGTGCGTTGGAGTGCACGTTCGCGTCGGGCGCGGCAGGACCAGGTGGAGTTGCTTGCCAGCAATAACCGAATTGGCGAAGATGACAACTCCGATAACGGTAATAGCTTTTAAATAACAGTATCTGAAACTTCAGCTTGTGTCAAAACAATAACGAATATGCATGCCAATTATGAATACAAGTATATGATTATGTTTATGCTTTATTTGTGCACGTGCTATCTCTTTCTCTCATGTAAATTATGCTTCATATAAAATATGCTGTTTACATGCCCTGTCTTCTTTTCTCCTGTTAGCTGCCTTTCGGAATTCAGCTGATCTTACGCATACAGATGATATCTTTCTGAAGGGCCTATTGCTGAGCAATCCAACAACACCTCACAAGGAGCTTATGGTATGAATGTATATAGTCTGTAAATTAAATCTCACATCCACACACGCACACACCTTATTCTTTGGCGCATGACCCAGTTGCAGAATCATTTGTAGTCAAACCATCTGCCAATAAAAAAAGAAAATGATGTACCGTATTTTGTTTTCCACATTATTGAACATACATACTGGCACGCAGACAAGAAAAATCTTTGTTTACTCTACTGATACGTGCGTACGTACACTCAGAGAAAAACTCTTATCGAAACGCTAGTGTGAGCTGGCTAGTAGACAATTCTTAATAATAATCAGTTTACTGACTGAAAGAGAATTATAAGATATACTTAGAAAATTTCATTTATTTCCATTTGGATGAAGTGTAATAGTTATTAATATTTCCTCTGTATGTCTATGTATATAAGATGCGTTGAGACCAATAATTTGAACGTGCTTACGGTTTCTTGTGTTATGTTACATAATTTCCCTTCTACTTTACGCTCGATTACTTACAGTGCTTGAAAGTAAAAGGGTCAGGGATGAGCATTTGCCATGCTTTCACTCAAACCATAACGGTACATCGCTATACTGAGCCATAAAGCTGAGCATATAGTTGTTCTCTCTTTTGTGCTGCTTTATTAAGTGCGATTCACTTGATGCCACTTGTGTTCATTACGACCGGGGACTTTTATGATAATCATTATGGCATAGCTATTAACACAATTTCCCTCTCACTCTCTGTCTTTCTCTCGCTCTGTTACTTGTTAACGCATTAAACTTGACCCCAAATTTTATGCGAATAAAACGATGCAAATAATTGAATAATAAGCGAGTGTTAAACTGGAATCATAGTGATTTGCATATATTAGCTTGTGTTATTATTGATTTCTGGAGCCTATGAAATTAGCAATAATATACTAATCAAAATGCCCACAAAATTGTAGAACTAACTTAATCAGTAAAAACAATATTTTCTTTTTTTATGGGCGCTTGTTTTTTTGGCAAATCTGTTAAAGAAAAATCACAAAGTTAAAGTCAACAAGCACGAAATAAAATAATCAAAAGCGACGTCGCGTGTCGCAAATAATTAGAATAATCATTTTGGCATAGGTGGAAGGAGGGTACACCTCAGTGGTTGTTACACTGTGACCTGCTATTGGGAAAGGCAGTGAAAGTAATTAGAAATTACAAGTCACGAGACTTGCTGATAAGCGAAATTCCACATATGAAATGTCACTCTAAAATTCCAGTTGCCTATTAAAGCAACGCATATAAAAAGCACGCAACAGACGACGACAGCGACGTCAACAGCAACGCCCTAAGCAAAAAGAGTGGAAACAAAGCTTTGTAAACCGGTTTTAAAAATTGCTGTTCAAAGTAAATGCGCATGCATGTGTTAATTATGAAAAACTTTATGCTACCTCGCATCAACAACAGCAACAACATCAACAAATGCAACAGCAACAGAGTGGTTGGCCTACTAATGCAGCAGCGGCAGCAACAGCAGCTGCCCAATACCAAAAGCTCAGAGAGCGGCTTCAATTGAGTCTCTGTTAACTAACAGTGTCCGTAACAGCAACGTACAGTTGTAACGTAAATACACATAAACACAGAAACAAGTGTGTACCAATACTAACACGCGCTAGTAAGAGCGCCAACTAAGCTCACGTATGTCTGGACACTTAGCCCTAGAGCGCGCTCTCACTCTCATAGCGCTCACACCCAACTCGCTTAGCTGAACTGGGTTTCGCTGTGAGTCAGTCAGTTAGTTACTTGCGAGCTGTGCTAAGGTGAGGTTCTGCTATTGTTGCGTGCGCTGTGTGGCGACCTTTTTCTGTCTATTCACTGAGTACGTGTGAACGTGTGTGTGCATGAGTGCGCTTTGCTCATTTGAGCATGGCTTAAACGGGGGGCAGCGACTCAACAACAAACATGCAACAGTTAATTTTGAATACGCGGTCGCTCGCCTGTTCTCACTGATTCGCTCTCCCGACATCGTCGCGTTCATTTCATTTTTTATTCGAAGACGCTTGTAGTGTAAAGTCGAAGTTTTTCTATAAATATAACTGTAAATGTGATTGTTTTTGTATATGTGTGCCATTAAATAAATGGAGCACAATTGGAACAAGTGTTTTGCCCATGTGCTACCTTGGTTACTCAATCAATAACAAACCCAAACCAAATTCAGTTTTAGCCTGGCTAACTGGTATACGACTTCTTACTTGATGACGTAGTCGAGCCCGCTCTATTGTGTAACGTCTTAACTGTGTTTTGGCATTTCCAAAATCGTGAGTGCTCGTACAAACGCACTCACACCACTACACACATATACTGAAGCTTATTCTCCGGCTTACTCACACAGATACATACATACACCTTTTGGACCGCTCTTCGTGCTCGCTCGCTCGCGCGTTTTGGGAGTGGCTCCAAAAAAAGTGAAAAATAGAAGAAAAAAACGAAAACCGCTTAATAAAATACTATAAAAACTAAATATAAACATTTACCATATGTAACTGAATTATGCTCAAACTCGACTTGAACTGTTTACCTAATAAAAGTTAAATTTTAAGGTTACATTTCTTAAAGAAACGTCATACGTTTAGCCTTCGCACGTTAAATTTCATTGTTATTTATTAAATATATGAGTGTGTACGTGTAATTAACAGTTTTGACTAATTAGGCATTACCTGTTGTCATTTTTGCGCAATTTGTTGTGACAACAAACGTACAAAACTCACAAAACCTTAAGGTGAAAGCCCTTTTATGTTAGTAACCAGCAAGAAGAAGCAGAATAACAACAACAAAGCTTCGTGTCAATAACAGTTGTCATTTGTATGTGTGTGCGTGTGTGCGTAACTGTTAGGGCGAGCAGTGGAAGCTCGTACTGTGGGGCTTCTTTTCACACGGAAGAACTGAAATTCGATATGCAGTAGACAAAATATGTGTAAATAAATAAATAATAATCGCTGCTTAGCGATAACACTAAGCTTTTGTCTGCAGCAGAAAAAAGAAATAGTTTAAAAGGCTTAAGACGATTGCTTGTTGGACTTAAATAACTTAGAAGTACAGTGGGTGCTGATAGAATAGTTCTCAAATCTGATATAAGAACTTTTCAGTAGTTAGAAAAATGTTTGAATTTAGAAATGAATTATATTCGGTCCAACTAGAAATAATTTGCTTCAGCTAGTTTTTTTCGTTTGATTAATTTTATATAAAATGAAAGCACCATCTAGCGGATTTCTTTGGTTCTACATGTTTTCCTGCTGCCTGTAAAGATATTTTATAGTCAGAAAAAATACAATCAAACTCTTTGTTAAATACTTTGAAATTTAAAAAAAAATCAATATTATATATTACAAAATATTGACTTTATTAATTTTTTATACTTCAAAAACTATAACTTTCTAGATAAAACTTATCAAACTACTTTTTAGAGCTTAATTAATAGCTCTAAACTAAAAAATAAAATACTTAAAAATTCTTTAAAAGCTTGTTAAATTAAGTTATATATATTACTTAGAAAAATTTACTTTACTATTTTTAAATAATTGACTTAAATTTTATTAAATTAAAATTTCTAAATTAATTTTAAGAGATTTGTCCCTTACTGGACCTTTTGGCATTTAGAAATTGAACCTTTTTTCCATAGAAACTTTCTCTATGACGTTGCGACGTAGCTTTCGTTCTCTATAGACCAAATATATATAATTTTCTGCATTCTGCATTGCGTTTGTCAAACAGATAGAAAACTTTTGCTGACTTATAAATATTGCATGAGTGAGTTGCTGTAGCGTGGGCGGAAACTGTGGCACCGACTCATAATACTAATAATAATAATAAATACAGAAATAACAAAGGCAGAGACAGATGACTGAGAGGACGCTGAGAGGCGCCGCTGGCGATGAAAGTAAATACATTTTGCAAGACAAGTGCGCCGGAAGACGAGAATTTAATGCAATTACAGCAGAAAGAGAATTGAAGCATGTTGAGCAAGGGTTCTGTTCTGTTCTACGCACGACCTAAATTTCACGCTCAAACGACCCAATTTTTGACCCAACAGTCGAAAGCAAAGGCAACCAAATATGGAACGGAGCAAAGTTCACAGGGGTTAAATGGGGGTAGGCCATAAAAAAGAGCAGACAGAGTGGAAAAGTGCCAAAAAAATGTATATGAAGAAGAAAAGTCACCAATTAACGGATGCGAGCGTCAATTAAGCCGAAGTAAAGTTGACTTGACCTAGGGCAGTGCGAGATGATGAGAGATGACTCTGTGTCCAACGCCCCGCTCAGCGCTTAATGCGACAAATTTAATTATGCGTACATAACTCTCTATCTCTCTCTCTTTCTATCTCTAACTTACTTTACATCCATCTTTTTCTAGCTGAATCCAACCGAGCCGCAGCCCGTGCCCGCCTTTTTGCCAGCGCATCTGAACAACAAGCCGATCTGCGACGATATCATACGCAAATTCTCGCCCTCGAGACGTTTAGAATCGCGTGAACTAGCCAAGCTCTTGGCCCAGCCACACTTTCGTGTAAGTATTTTGTTTGACTATGTCAAGTTCTTATCAGGTATCAACTGGCTTTTGCTTGACTATAATCAATCAATCGATCAATCAGTCAGCCTGAATAAGTTGTGTCATTCTGAAAACTCTTATGCAAGAAGTTCTCATGAGCTAAGGACTGTACATTGTTCATCAGTCAGTCAATCAGTCAATTTGCTAGTTCGTTAAGCTCTGATTAGCCAGACACTCAGTCAATCAATCAATCATTCAGCCTAAACAAACGTCAGCATGAGACAAATTCTGATTTCATTCTTTTCTCTCTGCGTTACGAGCTATTCATCAGTCAGTCAGACCTGCAATTAGTCAACTTTTAAAGTTAGTCAGTCAATTAATCAATCAGTTTTCCTAGCTTTATCCCCACTCAACACGCACCCACTCTCCCGTTCTTTGTGCCATTGCAGGCTTTGCTGCGTGCTCACGATGAGATAGGATATTTGTACGAGCAACGTTTCAAAAGTGCCGGCGGATCTATAACAAAACTCGAGGCGACAAGTCAACGCCCCCCTGGCACCTATCTCTATACGGAAGAAATACTGAACAGCAAGATGCCTGTGGAGACGATCAAAATGGTCGGACTACGACGCGATCCCAAGCAGCCGCTGGGACTGACTGTCGAGCTGGACGAGTTCAAGCAGCTGGTGGTGGCGCGCATTCTGGCTGGCGGAGTCATCGATAAACAGGGCATGCTCCATGTGGGCGATGTCATTCTGGAGGTGAATGGTACCGCGGTGCGTACGCCCGATGATCTCCAAGTGGAGGTCTCGCGGGCCAAAGAGAATCTCACGCTGAAGATCGGACCGAATGTCGATGAGGAGATCAAAAGCGGTCGCTATACGGTCAGTGGGGGTCAGGTAAAACAGAATGGCATCACAAATCTAGAATCGGGCAAGAAACTAACGGTAAGTGATAAGTGTTCGTGAGCTTTTTGTCTAAGCTTTCTGTTCGCCCTTAGCAAGTACTAAGAAGATTTTGCTACTTTTTTGCATGGATTGTAGAAACAAAAAGGAGATTTTTGTCTAGCTGCATTTATTTTGTTTTACTAACTACAGTGATCACTCGATAATAGAAGCAACATATTATAAAGCTGCAAGGTTTGCAACAAATATAAATACAATGCAAAATTTTCGACTTAAACTTGAGTTATCGAGAAGAAAGAACAAAAAATAAATATAAATTTACTAAAATTAATATATATTATTTTTGTTAGGTTAAAACTGTTGCTTACTACCCACGCTTTGCTGTTAGATACTGATATAAAGTTATCTACAATTTCTCGAGCTTCAACCTTACTATTTTCAGTACATAAAAATTCTAGTTTGCGAGAGATCACTGTAACTCAATATTATAGCTCAATTGCCATTAAATAGTTATTATATATACATATATACTTATATTATATATATTATACCATGATGTATTTGAATGCATATTATGATTATTATATATTACAACATGATCAAGCTTTTATTAGGCCAAGAAGCTAGCAAAATTCTAAAAGACCTGCATTAAAGTAAGTAAAACTTAGCAGAAAATCCAAATGAAGAGAAGTTCTTTCAAAAATCGTAAAATGTCTAATATTAATATATGTGATATATTTGAATCTTTAGTGTTATATGCGCGCCCTGTTCTCATATAATCCCTCGGAGGATTCGCTGCTGCCTTGCAGGGATATTGGATTGCCCTTCAAGTCGGGCGATATATTGCAGGTAAGCTGAAATCTACTAAAGCATAGTTAAAGTGAAATAAACAAATACATTTGCTGCTTTATTCCTTTAGATCATCAATGTCAAGGATCCCAATTGGTGGCAGGCAAAGAATATAACTGCCGAATCGGATAAAATTGGTCTGGTGCCCTCGCAGGAGCTCGAGGAACGGCGCAAGGCATTCGTCGCACCCGAAGCCGACTACGTGCACAAAATTGGCATCTGTGGCACAAGGGTAGGCTGAGCTACATATGAGCTTTGGCGTAACATTACTATATATATATATATGAACTTTGCACAGATTTCGAAGCGTAAGCGTAAGACTATGTACCGTTCGGTAGCGAACTGTGAGTTCGACAAGGCTGAGCTGCTGCTCTATGAGGAGGTGACACGCATGCCTCCGTTTCGCAGGAAAACTCTGGTGCTAATTGGCGTCTCTGGCGTGGGCAGACGCACGCTCAAGAATCGGCTGATCAACAGCGATGTGGACAAGTTCGGAGCTGTCATTCCACGTAAAAGCGAACGCCCCCCTTGAAATCCAATTGAAACTAATTATAAATGTTATCATGCAACAGACACGAGTCGTCCGAAGCGCGCCTTGGAAGAGAATGGCGTTAGCTACTGGTTCATGGACCGGGAACAAATGGATGAGGCGGTCAAACAGAACGAGTTTCTCGAATACGGCGAACACAATGGCAACCTCTATGGCACACATTTGCAATCAATCAAGGATGTGATCAATAGCGGTCGCATGTGCATATTGGACTGTGCGCCGAATGCATTGAAGATATTGCACAATAGCCAGGAACTGATGCCATTCGTAATATTCATCGCAGCGCCTGGCATGGAGCAGCTGAAAACTATCTATGCGGATCGTCGTGCCACCGGCTCCAACAGAAATCTATCTGTATGTTTAAATATAGATGCTTGCATATATCTTAGCTAGTTGTAGCTTTAGTGTTAACTGCTAATCTTGTAAACCTTTTCAGTTCGATCGTCAGAGCTCTATCCGCTTCAGCTCCAGGCGCGCACGCACCCTCGAATCCTTGGCATCGCTCTATGAGGTAAATAGGAAGCGAGCCTACGGAGTGGATTACTCTTAATCTTTGAGTCATGTCCATAACCCCTTGCACTCATTAGGCCACCCTAGTAGCGCTCTTAGATCTCTGCTTGAATACACAAACATTGCTTAACTCATATTCTCATTATTGTCAACAGGACGACGATCTGATTTCCACGGTTGAGGAGAGCAGCTTTGTCCAGCGCAAATATGGCAAATACTTCGACATGGTAATTGTCAACGAGGATTTCGATGAGACCTTCCGTCAGGTGGTCGAGACCCTGGATCAGATGAGTCACGAGGAGCAGTGGGTGCCGGTCAACTGGATCTACTAGAACGCAACGCAAGCCGATAACGAAAACTTCTAATTCTATATAGTATCTATTGAATTCCAACAAAATATCTATATAAATATAAAAAAAACTATGTGTATGCAATATTGTATAATTTTAAAATGCCCTCCGCTTCTTTTAATATTGTTTTCCTTAAGCTTAAGTCTAATGTTATTGTATGAAACGAATTCGTCCATTTGCAAAGCTGTTTTTAATTTTAATTAAATGTTTTTCTCTGCATTTCACGAGGCAAAAACGAAAGCTCCTTAGCTATTTAGCTATATATAAAACGTTTTGTATGCATATCATTTACACATACGGACTACATATACATATATAATTTAATGAATCTCTCGAGTACAACCGATTCGTATATATACATATAATTTTAAAAGAACCAAACTCTGCCAATATATATTTTTCATTTATAGTTTTTAGTTGAAGTTTGTGCGATAATTAGCAAAATGTTGATGACAAATAAAGTGCGCATTTGGCTCAAAAGAAAATTTGGCCACTATTTGACTATTTCACTTTGTGAATCAAGGAGTGACTTGTTTAATTGTTTAAGTTGGTATGTAAAGATTTTTTGATTTATTTATTTAAAGATATATGCCCAAAGACTTCTCTACGACGGCGTGCGGCTGGCGCAGATTCTCATAATTTTCGGGTAAGCCTAAGAAGTCTTGAAACGAGATTTCGTCACAGCGGCCTGTCAAAACATCGTCCATTAAGTTACTGCAAGGGTAATTATATATATATAAATGAATGTAGCCTATTATATACCAAATTTGATTCGACTTACCTGGACTGCAGGAAAGGCAGTCGTCCAACTTGCTTTGCAGCAAACCGATCCATGCCCATTTTTAAGGGGGCACCAAGTCCTTCACGATTACGCAGCATTTGCATATCTATATTATATTTGTGATCAGCATAATTCAGTTCTGAATCTCTGAGACGATGAACGTGCGCCAATTGGCTTAAACAATTTGGCTCTGTGGGTAGCGTCGCCTTGCCAGATGCGTTCAGCACATTCACGTCCACAGGGCGCACTTTTAGCGATTGTTGATTCTTTAGAAACAAAATATACAATTAAATATGGTATAAGATCTGCAATACATTCCAACTAATTACTAACCATTTTAAATACAAATTTTTGTTATTCCGGGAGTGTACTTTACGATGACAAAACAGAATTCGGCTCGACGTGAAGTTAGCTGTGAGTGATGTTTTAGTCAATTTTTAGCAACGCTATGTGGCAACCTGTCGCAGCGATAACGATAAAATGTTATTGTTGTGAGCCGAAGGTAGGATGTGGTAGCTACCAGCTTTTGTCTGCTTGCAATGCGCGCTGTCTTTCAAATGAAATAAATACAAATTTGAATTTTGTTTAATAACTTGAATGCACATTTACCAATGGAATTACTGTTGATTGTTTTGTTTCGTGTTTATACATTTTATAAGTTTGACTGCTTGAATTTTCTATATATATTTTTTGAGTTTTAATTGTCAAGGCATATGTAGAATATTGTAATTAATTTCACTATTAATCAAATGTCCAAAATCTCGTGCCTAACACACTCGCCGCTGACTCTAATCAATTCAATAAACAAATTGTGTTGTTTTTGACGTCTTATGCTTTTCGCTTTGTACTTTTTGTATTTGTGAAATCGCCCACACCTTTTAGCGGCTTTTATGATCCACTGCTCCACAGAGCAGCAACAAGAAACATGAAAAAAAATCGATTTCAGCTTTTGAGTGACAAAAATAAAAACTATATAGACAGAGTTTAATTAGTGCATGCTTACTAATAAAACTTGTTGCTTAATTTCCATAAACACAAACACAAATTGTGTTAATCAAACTCCCGCATCAAAGATCGGCACTGTCTGCTGCTGCTCACCTCCAAACTGAACTTGAAACCGGATAGAGCCATGGGCGGACAGCCAGATAGCTGGATGGGCCAGACTTGTGTGAAGCTGCAAATATGTACCTAGACATAAATTAATTATCTCGATCATGCTTGAGATAAGGCTAAGACTCGCTAGCTGCATTCGAGACGACACGATATCGGCCAAAAAATATTGTAAATATTTTTTTGCATTCAGCTACAAATCTTTTTCACGCTTGAGCAACTTTATTAATATTCTGTGTGTGTGTGTGTTCGTGTCATGTGATTGAGGTGTGGGTGTTGATTTTAATTAGTTACAATTAGATAAATTATAATTGTGAATATGCGAAGCGACCATCAACAGAGCTAGACTTCTCGATTCGTTCTGTTTTCACATCAAATTTCTGCTACGCAAATGAAATTTGAATAATCTGACTCAGAGTTCACAATATAATATATATTTAGAAACTATAACAAAGGTAAAAGATATTTAAGCTAATATTACAGTTGGAAAAACAATTTATTATCATTTTGGGAAGCGGTATTATATCAAATAATCTTAGACATGTTAAGGAAATCAAAATTACCAATAAAAAAATTAATTATTAAACTAACCTAAATATAAAGTTTTGGTATTTCCTTCTAATATATTCTTATTTTGTCACATAGATTTTTATTATATTTATTTACAAATAATTGAAAATTAATCTTCACATCTCAAATCCCAAATTAATATTACAGCAGAGTCTTAGTTTTACAGGGTATTATCTACTGGGTATATAGAACAGTGCTTAGTTGAATGGCAACACAAATATCAAGAGGAAATCATACTGAAGTACCTCGAGTACTCCAACACAAATACAAAAAACAAGTGGTGCACGAACTGGTTGATTTATAATGCAGCAGATTAGCAAAATCGGAAATGTCCAGGCCATGAAAATATACAACCTGTCTAGATTTGATACGAATCGAAGCGAATCGATTGTTGAAAACGTTTACCATTTGTAAATATACATACATACATCTAGCGAGCCCAAAATATTTTGACTTTTATGTGTGCGCAATGCATGCAAAAAACAGAAGAAGTAGAAGAGGAAGAGAGAGGTACAACATAAGTAACCAAACAAGCTGCATGCCGAGCGATAAAGGAAGTGTGTGCTGCATTTTCACACCTACATGCTAAAAATAAAGTTGAAGAAAAAAGAGAACGGTATTCGGGCAAACGGACATTGCGATTGCGGCTGTGCAGGCGCTCGACGTCATGTTTGCATTTGTATCAGCCGAATATTCGATATCGAAATTCGAAACACTCAACTCTTTTGGCCATGCGTATCGCAATACAGAAACGTTTGACTTTTGCCGACTTTTTTCGGGTTAGCTACCGCATTACACATATGCGAGATGCAGTTGCAGTTGCAATTACTGGGAATTCACAGCTTATGTATCTATTGATGTATGTACGAGCACGCCATTTTGTGAGAACTTTGACATGCATTGAAAAAAGCGAGCAAATGCCAAGTGATTTATAACCTCACTTCTTGTGAATAGTATAAGAGTTGCAGTTGGCAGCTCGGTCCGACCGACCGACTGACTGATTGTCCAGCTGCCATAAAATGTACGAATGATCTTTTTAAGATCGCTCACGAACGAGGAAAAAACTTTATGATATGGCGGCTGGCGGCTGGCGGCTGGTGCTGGTGCTGGTGCTCTGGCTGTCTTAATTGGCACCCATAGGATTGTCAGAATCGACCCCTAGAGATACACATACACTCCGGCCTTATCCAATCAACGTAACTTCTGCTTACAGCTGCGCCATTGTCGTCGTCGTCTTCGGTACCCATAAAAGTTTATGGCATACCAAAAAGTAACGTTCGGTCGAAATTTGAAGTTTTTCGTTCACTTCGAAACACTCTCCGGTCAAGCTGTTTCGGTATGTCTCTATTAGCGATGACAATGGCTGAGCATGCAGCATCCATCCATCCATCCAGCATCCATCGCAATGCAAAAGATTATAAATTTGATGCCATATCGGTCATATGAATGTATATATATCTGACGTTTATGCATTTATTGCTGTGAAAAAATGTTAATTCCGTCTACACACTTTTTATGTGTATTTGACTTTATACATTTTCTTTCCATTTTGTTTCTGTTGTCTTCTCTCCCTACGACTCTAGACATAGTTGACTCTTTTGATGCGGTATTTTAACTCGGCATTGAGTAAATACTCGTAACGAATACTATGTATTAATTGGCAGCCATCAATAAATCGAAAAGTGAACATCGTAAATCAATCGAAGCAAGAAAGCGAGATTTCGATTCAATTCCGTCAATACCCAAAGTTCAACTTGCATTCGGACGCAGCCTTGCTCGCGAGTCAACGCTCGCACAGCTTAAATTCTCCAAAGAGAAATGAAGTAATTACAGCTATATGTGTATGAGAGTATGCATGTGTGCGAAAGAGGCAGAATCTAAGCAAATTTGCATGTAGAAACAGCTCTATTCCATTACAAGTAGATTTTACATAAAAAATAAAACTTATACTCTTGTTAAAACAAATGCAACGCCCATGCTTTAATACGCCAAAGAGAGAAACAGTGCATATAAATAAAATATTTGTAGTTATGTGTAGCTGTGTGAGTGTGCGTGTGTCTGCATAGCAATTTTCTCGTATTGTTCCAATTCAATTACATGCAACACGCACACTTTACAAGCAAACAGTGACGGCTCATTTGCCATGAGTGCAACAGAGCTAGCAATAGTGTCAAGCACTTCAATGGTGTTTGAGCGATGAAGGCGTACGCAAAGCAAAATCAAATTGACAGCGGTAGGTGGAGCATAACAGCTGTTTTGAGGGGTAATGGAATGCTAACTATAATTAAATTTAAAGACAGTTGTGTTTTGTGAATTTTATTTTTTGTTTATTTCAAATAGCACATGGATTTTACATAAATTAATTTTGCAGCCATAATTTAACTAAATATTAAATTTACATGCAACGTGTGCGGACAAATGTTGATATGTGGGCAACTTTTATAATTACTTAATACATATACATATTGTATGTATGTGTGCTTGTATGTATGTTTAGTTGCGTTTGCTGTTTTATTAACATTAAATTCAATTTAGTCTAGTAGCTAACTAATTGTTATTACATTGCATTTAAGTAATAAACGTTAAAATTTTGTTGTGTTATATATGTACAAGTCTGTGTGTGTGTTTGTGTGTGTGATTGTTTGTTATCAAATTGCAACAAAAGAAATATTTATACATTTTTCTGTTGCATTTCACTAAATTATTTTTGTGGTTTTGTGTGTTCCAAAGCAATTAGACAAGCGGGACGGCTATACAAATTGTTTATGTTTATATATATATATATATATATATATATATATATATATATATATTCTTTTTTTAAAATTTGTTTTCTGCTTTTGCAACTTAAGAACTATTTTTATATATTTATATATTTGTGTCTCTGTCTTTCTTACATGCTAAACATTAACTAAGAACAAAAAAACAAAACAAAAGTTGTTTACAAAATACAAATTACATATACATTTACATATATATAGATATATATATATATATGCATATATAATTAATTGAACATAAGGTTTCTTCAAGTGTTTATTTAATTTATATTTTTCTCTTGCTGCTGCTGCTTGGTTGTGGGCATGGCCGTTGAAGGCGTGGAGGCGTGCGTTGAACGCTGCGAATATACAATCACAAAAATTAACAACGTGCAATATTCAAAGGCGCCGCCGCCTCCTACTCCACCTCCCACTCCTTCTTCTTGTTCTTCGTCTTCTCTTCATTAAGCTGTAGAAGCAGTCTAACTGCTTGCCACGCCCACTTTTCTATAACTAGAAGCTAAGCCAGCTCACTGGAACACGTTGCATAGCTGGTCTCCAGCTGCTGCTGCTGCTGCTGTTGTTGCTGCTCCATTAGATAGCTGCCCCCATTCTGATAGCCATGCACCTGATCACCTGCTCCATAATCAGGTCACATTGATAGTGTGCTCACGCCCACCGCTGCAGCTGACATTTGGCTGCTATGCTGCAGCTGATGGGAATGGGCAGCCACCGCCAGCGAATGAGTGTGAGCGGCCAGGTGAGGATGTGAGTGCAAGCGCATTGCGGATATATTCATGGCAGCCATGGGATTCATGCTATGCAGCGGATGCTGCAAATGCAAGCCCGGCTCCAACTTGGCTTTCGCATCCAGCAGCTGGCTATATTCCGTGTGCTGCATCACGGCTGGATCGCTGCCCTTCTTGTTCTGCTTGCGCTCCTTGGCGCGTCGATTCTGGAACCAGATCTTCACCTGACGCTCCGAGAGCGACAGCGATTGCGCCAGCTCACTCTTACGCCGTATGGTTATATAGCGCGATGTGCAGTACTCCTTCTCCAGCTCGAGACGCTGGAAATCTGTGTAGACCACGCGATATTTGTCCTTAGTGCGCGTCTTGCCTATAAAAAAATAGAGAGAAAAATATTTTGATTAGTTAAATTATTTAAAAGTATTTTTTTATAAAGGTTTTTATATTAATATATATGCCTGCACTAATAATGGATTATTTTGTAACATTATTGATGAAAGACTAAGAAGATATTTATCAAGATATGCTTGAAACTTAAAATAAAAATTGTAAATAAAATTTTAGAGTGAAAACGTATTGCTAGAAAATATATTAAAAATTTTAAAAGAAAATTCTAACAAAATTCTTACGATTCTTTGTATATATTGTAAAAAACTCCACAAAATTCGAATACGAAAACATTTAAATTTTAGGTTCCACAACTTTTGTGAAAAGCATTTTAATAGTAAAGCTAAACATATAGAAATTATTAAAATTGTTTTGCATTTTTGATTTTTAAACTATAAATATTTAAGAACTTTGTTTTATTTGAAATGTCAGTAGAAATATTTTAAAATAAATATAGCAAAAAACTGTTTCAAGATCATAGGACTTTAAGTTTATACTGAGTCTGGCATTTTGAAACATGATTTTTATTTATTTCAAAAGTGTAGAACGTGTGAAAATACTTCAGAATTCAGAAACAATTCAAAAAATGAATTGCAATCAGCCCGAAGCTGACTGGCCGGCATGGTCAGTGATATTATGTATATAGATCATTTTAAGAATGAATTTACTTGAAGGAATATTTTCATAGTGAAATATATAATATAAAGGCAATTAAATAAAGTCTATAAACCAAGATTATTATAATAATCAAATTGCATTTTATAGCTAAAATGTTGAACCCCGTATCTTTAGATGGTTTCACTATTATTTTAAGATATCTTGCGTTGGCAACCAAAGATCGTGTTGTCGTCACAACTCAACGCCACGTGCAATGAGTGACTGGCTGACTGACTGACTGAGTGGCGTTTCTGTTAGTCAAACAGTTCACTCTGTTGGTCATCATACAACCCATCCTCATCCTCATCGTCATCAGGCTGAGTTGCAGTTTGCTGACAATATTTGAATTAAGATAGGCCATAAAAAAAAAAAGAAAAAGAAAAAACCGCCTCGTTTGGCCATGTCACGATCAAAAAAGCTTGTCAAGCCCGCTGCTTGTGCGGTAAACATCAAAATTCGAAAAGAAAACGAAAAGACACCTCTGAGCAGGCAGAATTACCTGTCTCATTAAAGGTTACCTTTGCGAGTGTTGCTTAATTGTGGCGCTTGCTGCGCAATTAGTCAATCAAAATTCAAATAAATGACAAACAGCCAAAGACGAGGCATGAAAAAGGCCACGGGATCAAGTCATGAAATATGTATATATATATGGGTGTGTGTGTGTGTGTGTGGATATGTGTGTAGTTGTATCTGCTTACGTGATAAACACGCTCACACACAACTCGGTCGCTCGCTCGCTCGCAATGCAAACACTTTTTGGTTGGGATTTTGCTCTAATTTTTTTATACTATTTCTATGTGCTGCTTTGTAAGCAACAATTAAAATCGAGCAAACAAGCGAACAAACATAAATATACAAATATTTTCACAGATGATAAGTTCAAGCGACATTAGCTGAGAGATAGGCCAACTGGAGCAGCAGAACGCGTAGGTGTTAAAGACCTTAAAAATGCGCTACAATGATATACGATGATATGAAGTGGCCCTCTCACTCTCTCTCTCTCTCTCTCTCTCTCGCTCTTACTCTCCCCGTCTCTCTCTCTTTTAAAAAGGGAAAGTCTGCTGCAATTATTGAAATTTATGAAAAAAAATCAACTCTATTGGAAAATCGCTTAAATTCTTGTTGTGTAGTTAAGAGTTAGGCTGAGTATTACTGACTGTATAATGCCCTGTTGCAAATCAATTCGAACTCTATCAAATTGGCACTTGTTAAAACATTTAATAACTTTGACAAATTGTCGATTATCGAACTCAATTCTTAAGTTTATATATAAGTCTAAGATATTTTGGACCTTCTAAAGTTATTTTTTGAATTATCAAATATATTTTACACATGTAAAACTAATATACCCTGCTTTTAACAAAACTGGCATAATTAACGTTAAGCTTCTTCTGCTAATCTCTCACACACTTTCGTTTATTTTTGACTAAAATAAATAAATGTTACAAAAAGTGCAAAGCAATGTTCCTTTTGCTCAACTCAGACACATTTTATGGTTTTAAGGTTTTTTCACTAAAAGTAGTGAAAATATAAAAATATTAGAAACTGTGGAGGCTTGAAGATTAGAAGAAAAACTTGGAACTAATTTTAGACACATTTTGCCTATCTTAAGTTTAAATTTAATTGCAGTAAAATTTGTGAAAGGTATTAAAAATAATAACAATAAATGTTACGATTTTTTTTTCAAAGGGTTAACTTGAAAAGTTCTAAAAAAACGTCTATAGTCAAGTCCAATTTTAGTATTGGTTTTTTATGTGCATCTATTTTGCAATATATAAACTTAAAAAAATCATAATTTGTGAAAACTTTCGAATAAATTCAGTTTTTTTTTAAATTTCAAATCTTTCTAAATTATTGTGTTTTCAGTTTGAAAACCTATAAAGATAGGAATTTTAAGAATTTTTTTTTTTGATAATTCTGATCTGCTCAAGTTTTGCTTCTTCTATGACAAGTCTTGTTTAATTTTTTTATTTTGTTTAATTTAATTAATAATGAAAACTTTATTATAGTTTTTACTTCAACCATATACAGCAAGACATTTGCCAACTTTCAGCTAGAAGCTTCCAAAGAGTGAGAACCAAAAAAGAAAAAAAAAAAAGAAGCAAATGTACAAAACAGTTAAGGCATAGCAGTTAAGACCCCTTTTGCTTAGCTCTTATCTGGCCCGACTCGCATTCGTATTTATTCTTTACACTTTTGTTTAGACATGAAAATTTATAGCATTCGCCTCATCATCAACAACATCGTCGTCATCGTCTTCTTCTTCTTCTTCTACTCTTTGCTTAGACACAAATGTGGCAATCGTCATATAAAAGTTAAAGCCTCATTCCAGCTAAAGTCGACACAATTTTTAATCTATCTACAGTTCTCGTCTCGCTCTCATAATAAATCTCAAATTTTTAGTCTTTTTGCCATTTTTGTTTTTGTTAGTTGCGCGTGTTCTTGGCCACTAGCTCAACTGATAAAGTGGGCGTTCTTGGGTGTATGTGGGCGTGGTGGCCATCATAAAAATACGCCTAATGCTGATAAGCCAAAAAGCGTATTTGGACAGACGCAGACGTAGCGCTGGCAACGACAATGCTGGATTTGAGGAACTGCACAGCAAATATTTGTCATCATTAAAAGGCAAAAAATAATATATATATATAAATATATGAATATATATATATACTATATATATAAATACATAAGTATTATTTTCTTGTGTAAATTGAACATGCAAAATCTAATATTTATTTATACCTTTTTTCTTTTAGTTTTTTCTAAGCCTTTTTCGCAATTTTTTGTGTTTTTTGATTAAATAATCTGACAGAAAAGAAGAAGAAATTCTACTTGAATGTCTATAATCTAATACATATGCAAATAGACTGCTTCGCATGCTCTTGAAATGGAAAAAAATGCTACAAAAGCTAGTCTAGAATCATAAATAAATTTTATATATATATATATATATATATATATATATATATATATATATATATATATATATATATAACAAATCTTCTGTAGCTATTTCCAGAACTGTCAGGTAGCTCAAATAGCCCTAGCTTGCCTACAGAAAGCTTGCTAAAGTCAATCTGCTTACATTGTGACTATCATCCACAGATGAGTATACTACAGATATATTAGAGTACTAGCATCTCAGAGTACATCACTATATGGCTTAGCATCAGTTGTGCATCAGTTGTTAAACGATTTATGTAATATATGTTTGTCGTCTTAACTTCTGAGAGTGAAGGACTTCACAATCATCAAAGTTCTAATACTGAAGTAGTACAATTTCTTGTACTAAAAAGCCTTCAAATCCATGTTTATCAAATTAAATTTCGGAATGCGTATTATGAATTAAAAATAAAAATTGTTATAATTTAAAATAAAATCAACTGAATTCCTAAGCAATCAGAAACAAGTTGCCTTTGTTTAAATATTTAATAAATAACTATTTTTTGTTAGCAAAAAGATTGATAAAAATGGTATAAATTCTATAGCTGCGATTTGAACTCTTGCCTTTAATTATAATTTGCATTTTCATATTGGATTTCTAATTTTTTCTCATATAAAAAAACTTATTTCATTCATATTATTCAACCTATTCAAATTCAGTTGGGCAACTGCACAACAGAAATCTACAGAAATTTTAGTTTTTCTTTTTTTTCTCTTTAAAAGAAATCTTAGTCTTGTTACTATCTCGTAGTCCGCTAAGTCTTTCAGGCCCCTCCTATATACATATATATATAAAGATACAACATAAACTCTTTTGAACGTGCTTAAGATCTTTCTCAATTTAAGCTATGCACAAATTTTGGGGTTTTCTTTATCTTTTGGCACTTTCCGTACAAATTTCTCACACCTAAAAGATACACAAAGTGCAAACAGTAGAAGAACTGGAGCAGAGATTGTTGTTGGTGTTGCTATTGTTGTTATTGTTGTTTTAAACGACATTGGTGCTAGATGTGGCTGTATCTGACCTTCACGGCCATAATCCAATAAATTGTGTATACCATATATAAAACTATAAAGCCAGCTAAAACCCAACTGAGTGTTTTATTATCTGCACACACAAAACAGAGACAGATAGAGAGACAGAGAGAGAGCGCGACTATTAATATAGCCCCCATTATAGTTAATGTGGACCAAGTCTAACTGAAAACGCAGTCTGGACAAACAGTGCACAGATCTTCAGAATGAATTTGATAAGACTCTGATAAGGTCTAAGCCAAAGCTCATAATTCAATAGCAAAAACAAAAAAACAGAAAGATATCAAATGTCATTTTTGCAAATAGAAGAAAAAGATTTTTTGGAGCTTGTCTAACGGCAGAAGAACA